TTTACATACAAAATTGTCTACTGTATTTGGGTGAACATGATTGCTAGTTACTGGTCTGGATCAGAGGGTTTTGCTTTTACAGAGAAAGTTTCTAAATGTCAAGGGGAAAAAATAAAAGTACTCTGAAAGAACTTTGAGCAGTTAAAATGAAAACATCCCTTTTGTTTGTTGCAACAAGAACTGTCACAGTACCAAAATGTGTTCCTTTATGTAAAAAGATTAATTATATATTTTGTTAAATATTGAAGAATACAAAAAAAAATCAGTTTTTAATAATTTTAAATGGAAAAAAAAATTCTTATGTAATTTAATTTTAACTAAATAACATACTAGTGCTTTTGACATTTTAGAATATTTTTTTTTAAGTGAAAACAAAAATGATCTGACCTTTATCCAAGTGCACCAAGTGTCATCTGCTGATTTATTCATAGAGCAGCGTTTCTCAGTAAAGGCTGTAGTACTTAATGTCCCTTCAGCTGGTAAGGCAGATGTGTAGAGAGGAAATAGCAGTTAAGCTTCTAAAGTTTTAAACGGGTCGTGAATGAACATATTTGTGAATGGAAACTCAGAGCATCTGTAGGTTTAAGGGACAGCTTGTTGATCAGGTAAAGCCTCAGGGCTTTGCTTTAGATCAGTAGTTCTCAAACTTTTCAGGCCAAGTAACTGGTCAAGTCAAATCAGGACATCCCAGTACCATCTACTCTCTCTACATTGTTCACTGTATTTTGGAATTTGAGCCAATGTAGACAATCTTAAAATGTAAAATAAAATACTTTATAAACAAATGTGCTTATTGGTATTTTTGACTCTTATTGGAATCAGTCCATGGAATGTGGATCTGCCTTTATGGTGGAAAGACAATACAAGACTTTGTAGATGGCAATGGTAGATGGCAATAGTTCCTATGGAAGGATTGGTCAGTTACGCTTTTTAGGTTAAGCTCAAATTGAGTAAGCTCATCTGCTCAAAATTATTTTTTTTTTACATTCAAGTTTTTAACTGTTTAGCTAGACTTTACCTTACTTTTTTTTTTTACTACAGAATTATATTTAAAAACACAATGTTAAATTTGAAATTCTTTCCTGACAGATTTCTCCTGCAGTGCCTGGATGATCTTGATTCCAATCTAAGAAAACTCAATTCCCGCCTTTTTGTCATCCGAGGTCAACCAGCCAATGTATTTCCACGCCTTTTCAAGGTAAAATACTTTAGTTTAAAATACCGCTATCAATCCTTGAATATGGTATCACAAAAGCACTTACAGTATTTCTTTCATTTGTCTGATCTCATGAGCGTTTCTGAAAGACACGCATTCCAATTTAGTTTAATCCACTGCATTAACTTTTTTGAGTAACTATCCAGTGTTTGTGATCTTTTCCTACAGGAATGGAAAATATCCAGGTTGACCTTCGAGTATGACTCAGAACCGTTTGGAAAGGAGAGGGATGCAGCTATTAAAAAGCTTGCGATGGAGGCTGGAGTTGAAGTCATAGTCAAGATTTCACACACCCTTTACAACCTTGATAAGTAAGCTTGATAAGCTTATTTCCTTAGATCTAAAATGTAAATTTTTTGATGTTTCCTATACCTGCTTAATGTGCAACTATAAGTAATCCATTTATAGGTTGATTTTTCAACTCTGGCATCCTACTAGCCTGACACAGTAACCTTTGTTCAACCAAATGACATTTGAAGAGAGTTCAGGAAGCATGTTTGATATACATTTATTTTTAAAAATGGCAACCTTCAGCTTTAATATTCTCAACCTGTTTAATATCTAATGTCAGCTGCACCATTAATTTGGCTATTTATTTGCTAGTTGTTGCATTAAATTCTTGAAAGAACATAGAGAAATTGCTGTCTCACTATCTTAAAATAAGAGTTTTAATGCATGTGAATTGTACATGTGGTAAGGATGGTGGCAAACAGGAAGACCCTGACACTTTACCCTCTACATCATTTCAGGATCATTGAACTAAATGGTGTTCAGCCTCCCCTCACTTACAAACGCTTCCAGACTCTGATCAGCCGAATGGACCCGCCAGAGATGCCAGTGGAAACCCTCTCCAACACTATTATGGGCTCCTGCGTCACACCTGTCTCTGAAGACCATGGGGACAAATATGGTGTGCCATCGCTGGAAGAACTAGGTGAGCTGAATGAGATAAAGAGCTTTATCTGTTGAGTTTAAAGGGATAGTTCACCCAAAAAGGAAGATTTAAAAAAAATCATTCACACACCCTCAGGTTGTTCCAAATATGTATACATTTCTTTCTTTTGTTGAACACAAAACATATTTTGAACAGTGTTTGTAACGAATCATTTGCTGGTAGCTATTGGCCCTGTTTACACCTGGCATTCAGATACGTTTTGGTTGATCCGATCGGATCACAAGTATACAAGGGAGACACATTCCTGTTCACACCTGTTTTTTCAATCCATCTCTTTTGTCCACTTTCGACCACTCCTATCCTGATTTCTTTTGAGGGGAGGGTCTATGGGCTAGTGTATGTGGGCTTTTTCTGATCTTTCTATCTAATATTGTGAAGTAAGCTTGCGCAATTTACATATGAGCTGAAAGCTCTGTTTTTTTTTTCTTTTTTTTCTTCCCAAAGCTATTTTTTAAATGTTTACTGCATGGATAAAAATTCAGCTACACATAGCAGTCAAAATAAAGTAATTTTATTTAACAATACAAAATCACTGAATTACATGTACAAACAGCTTCAAATTAATAACATGTAAAAAAAATGTTCTCCAATTACAGTACAGATGATGATATTATTATCATCTTGTACTATAACCCTCAGCTATGCTCTCATTGAGAACATCTAAGAGTTCCTCCTCGCCCAACACCTTCCAAAAGGCTTTATAAAACTCGACTGCAAGCCCATTACCAGGAGCTTTTTCTGTTCTGCAGTGGATTCCAAAGTTCTCGTTCACACAAAGGTCTCTCCAGCACTGCCTTTGACTTTTCTTGCAACTTTGGTAAGCCCGCATAAAAACTAGCAGACATTTCCTCAACTTTCTTCATCATAGAACTTTACAACCAGCTGTCTTATTTCAGACGGCGCTGTCAGCTCTTGCCCATTTTCTGAGCGCAATGAGTGAATGTATCGACTCTGGACATTTTTCCTCTCCAAACTAAAAAAGAACTTGGATCAGGCATCCATTTTCGTGAGATCTTGACCAAAGATCCATTTGCCTTCATACCTAGCAGGTCCACAAAGAATAACTTTTTAGACTTAAGGGCATCAATACCATTCTGCCCTCCAGTAACCTCTATCAATGTTTGTAACTCTACAATTTCAGCTTTGAGTTTTCATTTTTTGTGTAGTGTTTTTAGAGACATTGAAAGTATATTGCTGACAAAACAATTTAATTCCAACTTTTCCGTAGTCCCACCACTGACGCAAATTTATAAAACATTATTTTTTTAAATTTAAATTCCTAAAAATAAACACCTCTTTAAACTTTAAATCACTCCGCATGGAGATATTAAAATAAAAAACCAGAAGGACTAATTGCACAGCTTTTCACAATGTTAAAATAGTGTTTAAAACATTATAATCTATTCTGGCCAAGGAAATAAAATTCCCTCAAATATGCGTCCACGTTAATTGCTTATCATTCTTATTCAAATGCATCCATATATCACAATTTATGAGTCTCAATCAATGTGCGTATAGCACAGCATAGCATGATTCCAATCTCTACATAATTCTCTGTACAGTTAAAATCACCACCTAAAAACCAATGCTCATCTGAATTATAGCTCTGCAAAATTCCATTAAAATCATTAAAAAAAAAA